GACAACATATTTTAATATAGAAGGCTCTGCAAAATCAAGTATTCACAAAGTTATTATTTTTTTGAAGGGGGGAATAAATGTCTCGATCTTTCTGCGCCCCGAAGAAGCAATATGGCATTGAAGAAAAATAGGCATTTAAATTATATAATAGGATAAAATCACTACGGTTTAGCATGTCCAACCCGTGACTAAAAAGTTTTAAACTTCGTATTGCTTAGTTACTACTTTAGGGAGTTTTCTATAATTTCATAACTAGAGTGTGTTTATACTAAGCAGCCCTATTTCATTTCTTTTATTATATTATAAGTACCTACTTAAGAGATTTTGAAACGTTTTATCGTGTCCCGCCCGTGACAATCATTTATAATTTTTTTCTAATGATGCCTAACAATAAAAAAATAAGTTTAACGTTTCAAACCTATGTTTAATGCCACAAAACTCTGAAGTACAGGTTGACTAAACACCATAATACTGTTGGTGGGCTAAGCGATGTAGTAAAAAATTTCGCGTGGCCAGCTCGAAAAGTCAAGATAAGCATTACTATCTTAGAGACGCCAGAGAATTCTATGATGAGGGTTGCTTAACAACAATTAAAAGTCAATATTAACAATTACCTGAAAAGTGCCAACCAAGAAAATCTAGAAGTTCGCGAAACTTATAAATTCAATCCAATAAATAGCTTTTAAGTGACAAAGATATACATATGTATCTGCTTACAAGTATTATAATGCAGATAACTTTTCGGATTAGACATCGATACACAAGATCTTTTCTGACGTTCTATGGTTTTAAGGAATAGCTAAATTTCAGCATGATTTGTCCATGAAATCAGTTTCCAAAAATAACTCAACTCGAGCCACTCTTAAGCCGGTTACTCAATGTCTGGTCAACACTAACAGCAGGTTAGACATCTCTATCGACGTGATAACAGTAGTCGATATACATGTTTAGCCTGTAGTTAGTATTAGTCAGACATACATAGCTATTCTAAACAAACTTGAAAATCATTAAGGCACATTCGAAATTTCGTTGCAATCAAATGCACCGTGCAGAAGTGCATTAGGAAAATGCATATAAAATTTCATGCGTTTGCAAATAATCCTTTCTTCCATGCATTTTAATACATCAATCTGGCGACTTCTAGCTTTCGTTTGGTATAACTATTGCCCCTAAAATAGATCCTGGGGTCAGCAGTATATCGTGCGTCTTACAATGACTCCACTGTCATAAAAGTAGGTCAATTGATCTTGTATTTGACCTCTAACATTTATCATACCTAATCTCTTTGATATGGATCTCACTAGAAGCTTCCTTTCATGAAGAAAATCGTACGTGTCCCACCCGTGACAAAAGTTGTCCCACCCGTGACAGGAGAATTTTAAATTTTTTAATAATAAACAAATAATTCTTATTATGGTTTGTGCTTTGTTGGGATTGCTGGTTCTTTTCTGTATAGTAAAACATCTAATCCAGATAGAAATGTTAAGTAAATTCACAGACTTTCCTTAAAATATATGTTCTCCAAAAAGCAGTGTATTTTCTTTGTCCTACCCGTGACGGAAGAAACAGCTCAGAATTTTCCAATATAAAATCAAGTTGGAATATTTTTCGTATTTGGTAATAACTCGTATACTAGTGAACTAGGTGTAGCTTTATCAAAATGTAGAATTGCTATGTACTTTATACTTAAATTAAAAAAGAAAAACTATTTTTGCTGTACAAATGTCCCACCCGTGACGATGGAATACCCCAGTTATCCATATTTTTTCGATATTGTTATCGATCTTAGCGATTTAGTTATGGATTTTTTTTGTCGATTTTGTTAACGATATTAGAACGAAAATGGTAAAAGTAGGGATAAAGATAGAAAAAATATATAAAATATAACCTTAAGCTTATAAGATTATTTTTACCAGCCTGTCGTTTTATTCACAATTTTGAAACAATTAAATGCATACATATGCATCTATGTATATATGTACATACATATATTGGTTATGAGACAAACTAAATATGTAACATAAGTTTCACTTCTCCAGTGTGGCCCAGACGCACTTACTTTTTTTTTGGTTGACCTGTGTTATCGAAATTTTTTTCCATGCCCAAGAAGCACACGCTGTAAGGCGAAGATCTGTAATAAAATTGTTTTCCAAAATTTTTCCGATGTTTGATAATAAATAAATGTCATAAAGAATAAAAAGTAATTAATTTAGCTACATTATGAATGTTTTAGGCACAAATTCTATGCCTCATTAGGCTCGCTCGATTCTTTTACAGAATCAACACTGGTACTTATCCTTAGATAGGAATTTAGCAAAGAAGAGGGGGAAAGTTGCACAGGTTTTAGTGTCCGCTCAAACCGACAAACATTAGAAGAGCCATACAATAAAAATTAAAGTGAACTGAAGAATTTGCTGATTCAAAAGCGAATATATATTCAGTTGAAAACTATACATTCTCGCCTATTCATATCCCTCTACTTCAAAAACCCTAAATATAAATTTTTCTTTGCAAGCTAACTAACTACCTATTTAATATTTTTATCCACATGTTGACCCATAATTTATTTATGCTGAAATTTTTTAATTAAATTTTCCTGCTTTACCCACTCTTCATTCACTACTGTTTACATATTTACATACAAGTACATATGTATGTACGTTCACCTTCAGGCAGCCTTGCTGCACATGTCTATGCACTTACGATTACGTACGTACATTCATACATAGTACGTTGTATGATTCTTAAATACCAAGAACTTTGATAGCCTCATTTGACAAACGACAATGATTCCCAGAACGCGCGGCCCACAGCTGGAAAGCATGCAAATATGCGAAGCACCCATTTAAAAACTACAACAACTCTAACGAATTAAACTAGCAGGCAACAACAAAGCGCGCGCAAGCAAAGCTTCATATTACGGGCGTCAATTGGGAGAAGCGTGGTGAGGTGGTTGGGTGGAGAAAGACTTGGGCGCAGCGTAAGCGCAAACGCACTGCTCATTGCTGTCAATCGATGCGGTCAAGAGAGGCGCAAGCGACCAAAGCACACGATTTGTTATTGCAGCGGCGGAGATATGAATCTTACACATGCGCGTGCATAGATGTTTTTTATGGTGTTTTTTTTTCTTTTTGGCTGGTAGCCGCTGGCGCAATGAGCATTTCATTAAAAAAAAAATTGTTATTTATTGAGTTAATAAATTAAAATGCACTTTGTGTGCAGCGTGTGTCAACACTCAGCAAAAGCAACGGACATTCCAACTCGTCGCGCTCGTTTTGCGGCGGGCGGATGCGCGTTGCACTTGCAGCAGCGTCGCCGCCTGCCCAAGTGGGCACCACTACCAGTCAGCCAGATAGACAGCCTGCTCACTCTTTCTGGCCGCACCAATTGACCAATTAAGAAGTTTAAGGAATGTGTGGAGCGCCAAAAACTCACCAAAAGGGATGAGTGACAACGACAAGCGGTAGGAGCAGGGGCAGAGATGGGGGCGAGACGGTGATTGGTGTTTTATGTGCGCGCAGTTGAGATTTTTCGTATGCAAGGCTGAGCGCACATTAATTTAAAAATAAGAAAAGTGGACGCACTTGTAAAATGGTCAAATAAAGTAAAGGACAAAGAAATGCGCAAGTAAACAGAGCCCAAGCGAGACACGCACGCATGCGCACAGGCCAGCGCACATACATACATATGTAAAAACTAACTTGTCAAGCAAATACTTACACAATAAAAATGTACGCTTAAATAACCATTTCAGAACTTTGTCTCCTCAATATTTGTGTAAGGCGGCGTCGTTGTTGGTTATCGCGCGTCCATCCGCATGCCGCGTTGTATGATAAGCACCGCGCGCGCATTTGGGAACACGTCTGATGGCTATGCCATGCCGCACTGCTGCTGGTGTGGGTCATAAGCATTCTGAGAAAACGCGTGCGCGCACACACCTTGCTATATACATATGTACATGCATACCCGGACGCAAGGCAAGCACTTGCATACCAAAACACAAAGTGAAAAAGAATAGCATTAATAACACAATTAAAACAAAGCAAATAGAGAAAAGGCTATAACCGCGCCAAGTACATACACACACACACACACACACACACACGCGCGGCAACCTTCACAACTCCCGCCCAAATTGAGGTAATCAAAGTATTTACTCGTACATAAGAATCAACGTTGAACGCTGCTATGCGGCCTTCGCATGTGTGCTGCGCATGCGCAATAAGGTTTGGAAAGCCAATCAGTCGATTGACAGCAGTGAAACAACCATCGCCGCTTGATCAACAAAAGGCGCAACTGATATACTGAGTAAATAGATACGAGTACCAACTACCCAGCGGGGAAATAATCAAGCAGTGAAACAAATTTTATCGTTTAAACGCTTGGAACTCTCATTTGGTTGGGCAGCTCTAGCTAAGAGTTCACAGCGGGGCTACACAGCGTGCCTGCATCCTTTTAAACTATTCTCATTTTATGGCGTATCCTATAGACCCTCTAATGATGCTTTCCCCTTAGCTTTTTAAGTTCTTGAAGTACTTAGTGCTCCGCCAGTAATTTGAAATGTTTGTTCCAGGGCGCGAATATGAGTGAACAAGGTGAACCTGCTTTTACAAGCATCGGCCTTTCCGACTGCGCACACTGTTAGTGTACGAGCGACGCCGGGGATGTGGATCGAAATCTCGGCCTATCCGAACGCGCACACCGTCTCATCAGCCGCGTGAAGCGGAAACTAGGCCTTTGGCCTTTCCGCCTGCGGCCAAAACGAGAGGGTTCATTTAGGCTCAATCGTCACCGCGATAGATTGGAGACATGGCCTCGCCAGCTAGCCATCTCATTCCGAGCAGGCCAATTTTTTATCGTGACTCAAGCGCTAACTTCCATACTCTTACGGAGTATAAATGAGTGAAATGAATTGTGTAATTTTAATATACAAATGAAATAAAATTAAATTCGCACAAAGTAATGTTGAGAGGATTCTACATTATTTTTGATATCCTTAGCTTCTACAGAAATTGTTATGCAGGGCTCCGAACCTGGCGGTTGTATAGTCAATGATTGAGTTGGTATTTCGGCAAGAAGCCAAACGATTTTGAGCGACCCTGTCAAACTCCGCGTTCTGCTAGACCGCCTGCTGTTAGGAGCAGCTCTGGCCATGGAATGCATTGCAGTAATCTGTGAGCCTATAAACCTCACTCAAAGATAGTTTCTCCGGGAAGACGTCAGATTCTGTTCTAGCATCCATTTGGAGCCATTTATAAAGATCGGTCAACTCCTATCGGGAAATCGGATCCTGAAGTTGCTAGCAAAGTCAACTTCAGTTATCTGATGATCACAATTTCTGTACTCACCCGTGCTCTTTCCAGAGTCAAGGCAAGATCTCTGTCCATTGCTCACAGACTGTTAGACACCCTTAGCCTAGGAGCGCTGATATATTTACTCACCTTTTGTGAGATTAGTTCTAACTACCACTATGTTTACCCAAGGTATTATCTGATCGTAGACCCCAATATTGCCCGAGTTTGCTCATGCCGGAGTTGGACGCCTTGAGCGCTTTTCTTCTTTGCTCCTCAATATGTGTTTTCCAGGGTATTTTGGAACCAAGAGTAATTCTCAAAAACTTTTTTGACAAATTCAAATTTTTGCTTCGAACTGAGTAGTTTAGACTTGGAGAGATAAGCCCCAAGAACATGCCTTTCTGCTTACATTACCAATTTGATAAGTGTAGATTGTAGTATACCTTTTACTGGGCGTTGAGATTTAGCTCCCAGGATAACTAGGCCACCAACTACAGTCCTTAGGAGCTTGCGTGAACTGACAACTGCCACCTGCAGAGCTTCATTTGGATCACCCAGCTTTTTTCCAAACTACATGATTTGGATTACCTACAGCTCCATTCCAGAAAGTTCCGCGGCAGTGTTGATGAAATAAGAGTCGGTATATTTAGACCTCAGCTTTGCGAAAGCAGGGCAGCTGAAAAGTTAATGCTGAGATAATTTCACCGCGTTACCCTCGACGCAGCTACCGCACGAAGGATAAAAAATAATAATGACGTATCTCATGGGTTCCTATAGGTGTTCTGACCCGAGAATTGACCATTAGTCAGCTTAAAAAGCTTTCTTTAGGGACTATGCTCTAATATAGACCAGCATGACTTTGCAACTTTGCATACCGGTGGTTTCGCCCAGCGCTTGCTGGCTCAGTTAAAGATCCTTCTATCCAGGAGCAGTTTCCAGCTTGCCACAGAACCTCCTATACCTTCCTTGTTGTGGGGGATGACCTTGCGCGCAAATTGCCTAGCCAATTTATCAGTCATGCACATTCCTGCAATGTTGTTATATTCCAGAAACCAAATCAGCCTGATTTTTATCAGTTGTGAACCGATCCTAGAGCACTGATTTTAGTTTTGCTGTCTGCTTGAAACACTCTAAAGAATTCCGGAAGCCAACGCCTGGGATTAACGAATATTTTCGGATAGAACATAGCTCATCCAACTACCACTTAACTTAGATCGAGTAGAAGGAAAACCCAATGGTTCTTAACCTGTGGGAGCGTAATACAGAATCTTTTCACCAGCGTCGGGTACATAGATTTAAGCGGTAGAGTGGGAGTTGTCCAGACTTTTCAAGTGACTTTCATCAGACAATAATTCCTCATCACATAATTGTAGATTATATTTGGAGGGAAATCTTATCACTAGGGCAACTTATGCCCTTTGTACACGCTTTATAGTATTTGGCTTCCAGTATTGCTGTCTTTACGGAATCACATAAGTAGAATATCACCGCTTAACGCTGCGAATTTGTCATTTTATACCTCCCGGTGAAGAAGTTTAAGTGCTCATGTCACAAAGCATTTGATCTCTGCGTGTTCATATGAAATTTGTGAAAGGTTTCAAAAGCTTCTCGCGCGTGCTAACTTTTGGTCATCACCTGGAGTCGCTATAGTTAGTACTGGCTTCCGTGTGATTTTCCTACAGGGTAACCCTATGTCGGTGTTGGCGACCTTTCCTTCTATCTGAATGTTAATGACTCTGTTGATGGACGCAACTCAACAAAATTAAAGGTTGTTGCATTTAGCGCCTACGCTGTGGTGGGCAGTAAATATTTAGTGTCCCAAAGTGACATTAAATAATTACTGTTACGGCATTCTTAGCGTGGCAAGATAAACATTCGAACGAGCCGAACAACGCGAAGGTGATGGTGGAAGAAATGTGTAATAAATGTGTTGAAAACAGGTAGGCACCTTTTATTGATCTTTAATTATTTTTTAGTAAATATTTGAAAAGAAGGTCCAAATATTCTGTGTAGATTTCCAAACAAGTAGGGATACGTTTTGATTTTAGTGCTTACGGAATGATATTCTTCCCAGCCAGCAAGAAAACGTACATTTTACGAACATTATGTTTTACGAGGGATTCTCGTATCGCCAAAAAGTTAGAGAAAAGCTCGTAAACGATAAAACAAAAAAATATAATAGAAAGAGGCTTGTAATAATTTGTCAGCACAAGAAAAAATTTTAGTTTTGTTGACAATTTTTCTTCAATCACAATATTTTATAAGTAAGTAGTTTGTTAAATATTTAATTTAAGAAAATTATTAAGTATGTGATTTATTGGCAGACTGGTGCAAACGCAAAGGATGATCTACCACTTTCTTAAAAAAAAAACCGTGGACCCCTTAAACGAAAAAGTGAATCAGATGGATGCAAAAATTGGAGCTGTTTTGGAGCGGTTATTTTCAGAGGTGATTGCTTTAAGGAAAGAAAATGGTACCCTTCGAAACAATAAGAGACCAACCATTGCAGAGGGCGTCCTGCCAAGAAGCCCATTTAAGGAAAAGCATGCATTTATGGAATTTGAAAAAGACCTTGGGAGTTCAAGTGAAAAACAACAATTATTGGTAACTAAAAACATAAATTAACTATAATAAAATAATTTTTATTGCATTCTTTAAACACTTTATAGGTTTCTGAACTCGAAGCTATAAATATTTTAAATGTAGATAAATGTTTAAGAACGTACTGGCGGAAAATTATTACAGATGAGGAAGCAGAACTTTTCTTGTGGAAGGGAACTGGTACCAAATGCAACGCTATTGGTTTGGCAACGACTGCGGCAATAAGAAGTACTGATTATAATATTATTTATTACCACTTTTTATTTAATTCAATTTTCCGATTTCCAATGGAGTTTAATCTTTCACTTTATTTTCTTAGGTGCTTGTCGTCAAAAATTTAACTCCGACGAAGAAGTTTTTATTTCCGTTTCAAAGAAGCACTTCCAATATGCACACGACCGGCAAAAAAAAATTGGCAGCCTATCGGCAAAAAAGATAAAAAAATAAATTCAGCCTCTTTATAATATATATTAAACCCCTCTTATTTAATTGTTAAATTGTTAATAGATAGTTTGTTAATATTTATTTATCTGAAAATATCTTCACATATACAGTGCCGGGAAAAAATACTGGCACAGAGAATTTTTCGCCATGAATCCAAAGATTTTTATTCTGATTTCTTCTCTAATAAAAATATAGCTAGTATGAAGTTCTACTTTCAAATCAGATTTTTTAGAAAAATTCTAAGTATGCAGTTTTATAGCCCATTTAATTTTAGTATAATAAAGTGCACGCTAGAATAGCTAGAAAACCTCTTTGTTTTTTGGCAATTTTTTATACGCAGTTTCTTCCATACAAGAAAAAAATGTCGCACATAATTTGCATGGAAGAAACTGCGTAAAAAACTTGCCAAAAATCAACGCGGTTTTCTGGCAACTTCAAGAGTGCACTATGTTATACTAAAATATAATAGGATATAAAACTTCATACTTAGAATTTTTCTCAAAAATCTGATTTGAAAGTACTAACTATATTTAAAAAAAAATAATGTGCGAAAAGAAATTCAAGTAAAAAACTTTGCATACATTGCGAAAAATTCTCTATGCCAATACTTAGATCCGGCACTATAAATATTTATTAATTATAATTCCATTCAATAAAAGAACTACAATAATTTGAATTAATTAATTGCCTTTATTTTTAGCATTCAAAAACAGTAGATAAAGCAGTGTAAAAAAACGCTTTTTTAACGTAAATTAATCGTTTACGAGGCTCGTTTACAATTAAAAAACGGACGTAAAAATATTCGCATACGAATGCTTTTTCGATCCGTTTACGACTGTTCGTAGGCGATGTAGTTACAATTTAAAGCGAAAAAGTGCTCGAAAAAGAGTCGTAAACGGCTATCATAAACGATTTTTAATCCGGTTTTTCTTCGAGAAAATATCCAATTACGAGCTTGTTTACGATGATTTTGCTGGCTGGGTTGCAACCTTGAGTAAATATAAACCAAATATTCGTGAGGTGGGAACCAAGATGAACCCTAGTGGAGCTTTGCCTTTTGCACTCATAAGAGTGTAGTTAGTTAGCATGAAGAAGAAAAGATTATGTTGAACTCGGCCGCCAAAACCGCTTAAGCGCCTATAATAAAAAAAATCGCAAATGAATAACCAAGCCAAGAATAAATTGTCCTCAACGCCAGATTTTATCAAAAAAAGTATTTGCCCTTAAGAAAACCGTTGTTATGGTTCGATGTTTGAGTAGATTTTTGTAAATTTTTGATTAGCAAGCATTTTAAATATCAATATGAAGACGGCTGAAAAGATAGACGAAATTGGAATCATTTGTATTAGCGCCCATTTTTTTTAAATTAATAAAGTAATTAATGCGGTAATCCTACTAAGATGATAAACTTGAAAGTCTGTGAGTGGGTGTGTGCGTATGTTTGTTGTTCTTTTGCGCTAAAACGGCTGAACTTATTGGAATAAAATTTGGCACACAAATAGGATATAGCCTGGATTAATATTTTTTTTTTTTACCATTTATTTCAAAAATATTTTGTTAGGGGGTTGCCATTTGTTAGGAGTTAAAAGCGATTAATTAATAAGTTAAATAAAGTATTATGACAATGTAGTCGTCAAACGAAAGTGGTTAAAAGCTATACATGCCGAAAATATTTTTAAGAGGGTTGCCAACTGTTCAAAATGTTAAAATGAATTTAAAT